TGATGGTTGCTAAGCCAGAAATTAATTGGGTTCTTGATATAACAATAGCATATCCTCAAGGTAAACCAATTGATTTACCTACAATTATAACTGGTTCTAGACCACCATGTGAAACAGTACTGTTTTATCGTCTTTTTCCTAGTTCAGTGGTAAGTTGTAAGCTGTAAAATATTCTTTTATATTTTATATAAAAGTACTTTATTTCATCATCGTTTTCAGGTTCCTCGAGAACCAGAATTATTGTCTAAATGGTTGTATGATAGATGGGTTGAGAAAGAGACACTTTTGGATAATTTTTACAAGTATGGAACTTTTCTTGGTACACAGGCACCTGCCAATGAAGGTTCCAAGATCCATCAGGATCCATTAAGATTCCTAGTCCTTCATTTATTTTTCATAACATCTAGTTACATACATTATAACATGTTTACGTATGTACTATCTTGCTTCTGGTAAAGCATTTTATGCTATCTAAGAAATTACATTCAAAACATAAGTAAAATTATAATTTAGTAAAGTAAAAATATTCCTGCCTTGAAAATTATTTTTGATGTTGACTAATAAAACTAATGAATGTACGAATTGTCAATTCCAGGTGGATGTTTATAGTGTAATTATGTCACAGATAGTTAATTGCAACTATTACTTTTAATATTACGACTTGGTTACAAATCTGTTGTATTAATGAAATGAACATAACTAAATAACAAAACCTTTTTCTTTTTAACAAAATTTATTATAAAAATTTCATTATCCAGTTTCTTCTAAATATGTTATATTTCATAACATTAGCTTCCAATGTAATTACAAAAATTTATCTGTGGCAATAGGTATTTGCAAAACGAGATTACATATTTTATTTAAATAAGTAGTAATCTAAGTTCAGTTTAATCAGAGACACTGTTGGATATTGATGCATGAGCAATTCTGAAAGTGTAAAGATTTATAACGTTTTAAATTACATGCTACCTTATCTTAGAGATTATTTAAAGATTTTGTAGACAAATTTATTGTAAACAATACAGTTTAATATTCATATTACCTATATAAATCAAGTTGTTTAATATTGTTGATTCAACTAGAGATATTTAATGCTACCAGTTGCATGATAGTTTTAAATGTGCTGCTTAATATAAATATTGTTTTTCCTATTTCTTCATTTATTACAAAGTGTGAAAATATGTTTACTTTACTATCTATCTGGAGAATTTGGCAGCATTTCAGGGGATTCTCATAGTATTCTGCATGTGTGTTTTGTAATACAATATCTTAAGTAGAATCATCAAATGGAATTGCAAGATTTAATGGCAAATTACTGCTGATGTAGGAGCAGTGATAGTGAATACCATTTCAAAGAAATATCAAGATTTATTTGTGATATATGATAGAAAAAAAATATTTTTCAATGCGAAGTCAATCATATAAATTTTTTAAATTACATATTAGAAAATTGATATAAGTTCACAATTCTATGGGAAAGTAGATGTGAAATTTCATGCAAACTATTCACAAACATTTGACAGAAATAAAAGTAATATCTTGTAAGTTCTGTCAAAAGAAGTAAAATGTGTACTTCATTGCTAACTTTCAACCGGAAATAATATTGTTACATGAAAGAAGATAACGCGTCAACTGTGCCTTGTTCCTAAGGACAAATCTCAGTGTTAGTTGTATATAAGCATATGCATAATTTTCATAGTTAAATCAATGCCTACAATTAGTTTTTAAGATGCTCATATTACATCACTTTACAAATAAAATTTATAATTGCATCCACATAGTGATAATACAATTATTAAAAATGTCCTCGATGCTGCCTATTTGGTTATTGTAATGTAAAAAATACAATCCAAATTGAAAGCAATTTTTAGACTGATTAATTCAGAACAAGAAATTAGTTAAAGCACACATGATATGGACATTTGTTGCCATGAAATAGCTGTAGCAATTAATTTTTTGTTGTATTTATTATTAAAAAAGTGCATTTCGAATATGACATGAAGCAACATACAACTGTATAACAATCTTAATGCGGTTAATGTTCATACAAAATAATAGATGTAAATATTGCCCACATATTAAAAACATTAAGTATTCATAATACATAACTGTACTAAAGTATGAATTTCTGAATTTACATTAAATTTATTGATATAAATAATTCATGAAATATATGAATATTTTTTTAAAATTTATTTTGCATTTCTTTGCATTTAAAATGAGAATACAGATGAAACATGTAATTAAAGGAAGAAAATTAAATTTAAAGATTTCTTATTTATGAATTCTTTATGTTGAAAATGCATTTTTATTTTTTAAGAGAATAATAGAATGTTACTGATATTTGATACTTTTATGCTTATGAAACATTAAAGTGAATGCATTATAGCGCAATAAAATGTTTCTAGTCTCGATTGCAAATTTTAGAAATGGTATAAATAAGTTTCTGAATGTGTCACAGAACTGTAACATAAGAAGAAATGATTAAGTTTCTAAATAAAATTTATATTTTGAATTATAAACATAGTTATGTATTCTTTAAAGTTATTTGGTTAAATGTAAAGACATGAAGCAAATCTTGACTGTGTTGCTAATCAAAAGTTGATGATTGCGAATAATGTAAAAACCAAAATCTGATTTATTATTAAGAGTATGATGAGAACAAATCAACGTAATGTAATACTAATTGCATAGCAACATATACTTTGTTATAAGGGCCAATATTTTTGAGGTATTTAACTACATTAGATTTAAAATATCATATGTGGTACAATAAAAACTGAAAAGTCAAATTTCATTAATAATAGGAATCAATGTGACTAAAAACGAATGGTTGTATTTATTACAGTAAAATGTATACATCACTTTATAGTTACTGCATAAAAAGTTTGTTTTTATGTTGTGCGAATTATAAAATATAATAGTGAAATTTTCAGTATTTTGTACAAAACACTTTTTAATAGAATATCAGTATAGTATATGCAAGCTACATATAACTGAAGAATAAGAAGAAATATAAAAATCTAATAGAATTGAAGCGAAGAAACCATAAGTTGGTTGTGCCTGGTTGTGTTTTAAGTTTTCTCTTTTCTTTTAAATAATGTTATTTTTGTGTATTACATATAAAACAATTATTTTATTATTATTAGTGCCAATATTACATGCACGTATTTAAATAAATGTTTTTCTTTTTTGTTGTAGTTAAAGAATATTATATTTTCCTATTTAAAGCTATGATTATGCTGTATAGTAATATTGAATAATGATATTTTTAATATCAGAGTTCTATGTAAAAGGTGCTTAGAAGCTTTTGAGGATCTTTGATTTATATTTATATAACACAAATTTTTTGAAAGTTATAGGGAGCGTAATTAACAGAACACTGAACTATTTTGTATAAAGAAGTTACATGATAATGATTTTTTAAAGATTGTTTGACACAGTCTTGTCATTCACATGAAATGTTTATCATTAAGAATAATTGAATCATTATTGTAGAACGTCTAAGATAAATATGTTATATCTCATACTTTATCGTGATACGACACATTTTCGGAATCATATTATAAGCATCGATGGATACTAATATTGATAAATATTGTATAAAAACAAATGTAAACGTAAGTTCGCGTAAATTCTTCAAATTTTTAACGGAGAACACGTTGCTTGTATTCCTTTCTTATGAAAATTTTAATAAAATTGTTGTTTTTAAATAACATAAGGCGTACTTTTGTAATTATTGTTATTTCAAAACTGAATGTAAATATAAAGGTTTGTATGTCACATTAAATTTCTAAGCAGGTAATAATTTGTATCTTTTCGCCATAACACAATAATAATCTCTGTTCATTCAGCGAGATATTATACTCGATTTGTCCAACTCAGCAAACTTCAGTAGTTTCCCCACCATTCGGCGTTGTTAGACAACCATAAGTGATACGTGATTTATGGATAGTAGAAAGTTTCTGGCATTTTGCAGTCAGTTATACATCCATTATTATTTCCTTATTTAGTTCTCCAGAATTTTTAAAATATGACGACTCTTAGACCTTTTACGTGCAACGATTTATTCAAGTTTAATAACGTGTAAGTTTTAAATTATATACATTTTAAGGGTTGACAATGTTCTTAACCTATAAATACAATAACAAATAAAAACGTTTACCGGCTTTCTTAATTATTTCATTTTCTTTATAGGAATTTAGATCCCCTCACGGAAACAGTATCCTTTAATTCTGTTTTTGTATTAATACAATTGTTTGAATTGCATCAATCATATATTTTCATTAATATTTTTGTTTATAGTATGGACTTTCTTTTTATACGCATTACTTGGCCCATTGGCCAGAATATTTTCAAGTGGCAGAATCACCAAGTGGTGAAATCATGGGTTATAGTAAGTTCACATTTTTATATTATGGGATTAACACATTTGTTACAAGAACGAACATGCAGGATAAATATCTTATATCTGAGAAATACAAGTCATATCCAAGAGTATGATAAGCCTCATTACAGTAATGAATGTGTTAACATGTCTTATTATATGTATATTTTTGATGGATAAATTTTTACATTTTTTAAAACACATCAGTCATGGGAAAGGCAGAGGGGCAAGGAGAGAATTGGCATGGTCACATAACGGCGCTTACAGTATCACCTAATTATAGAAGATTGGGTTTGGCTGCAATGTTGATAAAATCCTTAGAGCAGGTTTCAGAAAAGTAAATTTTACAAAGATATAATTTAATGATATAACATTATATATTTTATATTTGAAAATGTGTTACATTATTACAGGAAACAAGCATATTTTGTGGATCTTTTCGTAAGAGTTAGTAATAAAGTAGCAATTAAAATGTATCAGCAATTGGGATATATTGTATATAGAACCGTTTTAGAGTATTATAATGGGGATCCGGATGAAAATGCTTTTGGTACGTAACTTAACTTATTAAAATTGTCTACTTCTAGTAGAATGTAGCTCAACGTTTAGTATAAGGTATTAATGTGCGGTAAAAGGAACAGTATATCTGCATTTCAGACATGAGAAAAGCATTATCAAGGGACGTGAAGAAAAAATCAGTAATACCATTAACTCATCCTGTGAGGCTGGAGGAAGTGGATTAAATGTATGTATGAACACATTACTGTGGGTGGAATGTAAAATAAGTTATACGCTTTTCGACAAATCCGAAATGATAATTATTATTGTGATTAATACTTGAACTGAATAAATAGTCTTTTAAAGTGCACATTCGAGCAGTTTATTTCTTTTTTCTGTACAATAGTACAATGTTTTCTGCTTACACCGCTCGTGCCTTTTACGCGTCGTTTTATGCGAATAAATAATAAATAGAAATGTAAGGTGGTAGGCTTAGCAGAATATTCCATAGACAGCTCGACGATCGCAGGAGACTTCTATGACAATTGTAACTTTTTCTTTCATTAGCTGCCCTCTCGTCATTCTACTATACTTAGAAACTTAAACCTACGGTAATATTTACAGATCAATGACTCTTTTACTGCTTCATAATACAACAGGGTGCTAAGCACCCACATAGTAGCATTTCTCATTGCGTTATTATAAAAATTAAAGACAAAATGTCGTTTTTTTGCATATCTTTGTACTGCTCCCAGTGATCTGAGGTTCGATCGTTTTCATTTTATATAAATCTTCAATGCGCTAAACAAAGCCGTGCATAGAATTTACTTTGTCTATACTGCTCAGAGAGGCACAATCATACTCAGCCTATTTCAGGAATTACAAAATTATAGAAGTCTTGTACGTATTGCACGAAAGCCCTACCTTTAACCTTTTTTTTATTTACTTCTGGGTACTAAAGAGAAGGAAGACATTTTGCTAGTTATGTAGGACACGTCAAGCGAGTACAAAACTTCTATACAATATGATGGGATCATCTTTTAATTAGTACAAAAAATGCTGCACGTATATTACCCAGGAACGATACTAACAAGCAAGAGTTATAGCTGTGAGGACGTCAATTTTAATCGAACATGTTCTGGCGAATCTATATTAAAAATAAGCAGACGTTTCTTCATCTTTTGTTGCATGACTTTTTTAATTTTGTAAAAAATAAACAAGTACTTTCTATACTATACATTTATTAAAAAAAAAATTGCAACATTGTATCAATTTGAAACGCAAGCTGATTATTAGAAGAGATGCAATTCATTTATGCTTAACAAGACACAAGAATTGAAGGGTTGATACAAAATACAATGAAATTAATTATTACAAATTAATATTAGAAATAAAGACTATCTGCATACTAACAAATTAACTGTTAGATATCTTTGCAAATAATATGTATCAGCAGAAGATGCTCGACGCTGCTTATTTTTGTTCCAGACTTACTGGAACAAATTCGATTAAAATTGGTCTTACAGCTGTGACCTCTCCTCATACGTGTTAAAGAAAACGCGTTCCCATTATATCTATTTGGTCGTGTCCTTATATAAAACAAACTTATTTGCTTAGATATTAAATAAATATAAAATATGAGACTAGCTGTTATCAAAATAATATGACAATATGTAAGTTTTGTTTGTTACTTTTCGTACAAAGAATCTTTTGTTTTCACGATTGAGCTTTTAAACGAGACTTAAAAACTGTATGTACTTACTGTTCAAGATCAGTGGGTGACTACTTGAAACTGCGAAATACCATACATGAAAGAAAGTTGATCGACTTAAAACATTAATGATTAGAACATATTAGCGTACAAGGTTATAAAATAATTAAAATTGTATTTTGAACTTGTAACGGTAAGTACAGTACAGTCACCGTGTCCGACGCATTTTGTATTGAAAGGAAATGTTTAAAAAATTGCATACTTATTCTCAAGTAATAACGATCAAGTGTGCATTGGTGTTCATGGCTGCACTTTTCTATTGCAGCTCGTACGTGGCCTGCGGTCGATTTGGCAAGAAGTAAGAATTTACGTCATCGTACTCTCATATTGAAGACAAAGGTATCGCTGCCATCACTCACTAGACTTCTAAACATCCAATAACTCTGATTAAATTATATACACAGTATGTGGTACGTCGCTTTTTCTTTAGTTAACTTACTCTAAAACGTCTCGAATTTGGTATATAAATACGGTAGCAAAAAAGTTTCAGCAATGATTGCTTAGCTTTTTCAATGAAACTCTATTCGATGTGATTCAGACATACTAATTTTACTTTAGGCAGTGTTGCAAATCGTTTCAATTAACTTCAGTCACCACGTTCTAATCCGCTTTAACGTGGACCACAGAGTTTCAATGCTGTCAGGTATGTACATAAACGTCGTTCGTAAGCATTCAATTACTAATTTACACAAAAATGCAACTAAAATCAACTACAGCGCAATATGTAACTGCGCATCGTCCAGTGTATCGTTTCTTATACGGGTTTTTATAGTACAGCTTGGTAGTACCTTCGAGTATTAAACTTAGTGCCTTGGTAGAATTAAACTGTTATAAACCAAGAACTACGTATTCCCCTGCTTCTTTATGTTCGAAGTTGATGCACCAGTCTTTTTAAGGTCTTTGGTGGTCTGGTGTCGACTTTAAGATATCCGGTTGTGTTGGAAGACAGCTTGAACCTGATTCAATTATTTCACGATTAAGACATAACGATGAAACTGAAATATGAAACTACAATAGAATCTCGCTATACAGCCTTCAAAATTACTATTTTCAAATATCTAACTTTGTTCTGTCGCTAGTGATTAACCGGTCATATAAACGGAAACCATATAGCGAGATTGCACTGTATATGCTTTTACTTTCTACAAACCAGTGGTAGGTCTTAGAGTCGATTTGATAGATCTATGAGACCCATTGCGCGTTAACGTGTTCATTTGTGGAGTTCCAGGTAAAGCGTGTCCCAAGGCGTTCATGTAGTCGGCGATCAATAAAGTTATTTCCAGAATCTACGAAAACACGACACGTTAAAAGACCTTGTTTTCATAAATCTTGTCAGTACTGTAACGCGATATACCTTGGGCTTAGAAAGTGCGAACAAAAGCTTCTGTTCTGCAGCACCTTCGTCAGGGCAAGCAACAAGCATAAAATCATCTAAACATCCTCCAAACGTGACTATATTTGCATAGTTGTAACGACACATCACCGCCATTGTTTGTAATTCCAGTAAGGTTACGCTGTCTTCGGAAACAGCTATCCAAACAGTTATTGGTTCAGCTTGTTTTAGCTGTGATATACGAAATATTTGTATCATCGAATTGGGTGTATAAATTAATTTTTAACAACGAAAGAGTTTCTTCTTACTGACCTTTGCTTGATAAAGTGTAGCTCCAAAGAAAGGCCACTTTCTGGTGCAAGTTAGATATATGCGAACGCAGTCTAATACACTGCGACCTTTTAAGGCGATCCACTTTTCTTGCAATTTTTCTTGCATTTCCCTACAACGATAAAAACGTATTTTTATAAGACTAACAAGAAGGTTAAAAATTATTCTCCTTCCGTTGGATACTTGCCTCAATTGTTCGGCAGTAATGTTTGTTCTGTATCGCAGAGGATAAAATTTGTCCAGGGCTTGAAGCACGAGATGATGAGGATTACTTCCTGGGCCACTGCCTCGTGCTTTGTCGTTATTATACTCCCCAAAATCGATCTGAAAAATGTAGTAGTATTCTAACGCTTTTCACCAATATTCTTATCATTATCTCTGTATAATCAATTCACCTGCGCCATTAACGATGCAAGCTCGAATGCAAGATCTCTGTTCACTGGGAATTTGCCTTGCACCACCTGCTGATTAATTTGGTAACACAGAAGCAGCCTCTCCCTGTCGGTCTCCATCTTGGCTGCCTGTCGCCAATAACATCTCGATTTATACGTCAACTGTATCACTCTGGTGTTTTCAAACTTCCCTGACCCTTTCTCTCTCAAAGCAGTTTCCCATTTTGAGATTATATCACACAGCTGGAATTAAACAAAATTTATTAATACATCCGAACATTAAGTTAATTATAATTTATAAACTTAAATATGTACTTTTGCTTGAAGATCGATGAAATGTTCAAGATCCTTCTCGATCGGATCATCACTGAACAACGTAAAACCAGACTGATGAACATCTCGACAACCAATTTCTTGATTCAAGGTATTCAGAAACTCTTCTATCGTTGTACTACCATCGAAGCTTACAACCTGGTACGTGCCATTTAAGAAGTGAACCGGTATCGCATGGGGCAGGGAGTGATGGTAAGGATTCTTCATTAGTATCGAAAGAACTTCCATTCTAGATGGTTTCACTTCTCTTCCGCCGTTCTGCAGCGTCCTTTCCAAAGCTCTTTCGCAGTAGGCTGCATATTTACCACATTCCGTTCTACGGGAAACGTTTGACAAATTATATTCTTGTTCTTATAAATCTAATTTGTTGAAACAGAGTTTCAGCTGAAGGCAGCAATTCGACAGTTTAACGTAGAAGAAAAATACAGGAAACAGAGAGTGCTTACTTGGTGTCCGCGTTTCGTTGCAGATGTAACTTCAGGTACCACAGTAGCCGATTGTTTCTCGGCAGGAAAAGTGAAACAGCGAGTGCTAGCAGCTGCCATCCCTGGATAAGAACGTACTGGGCAGGATTAGTTTTGCAGTCCAGAATCGTAGATGTCGAATGGCCCTGCATGAGCGGAGGACTGTGAGAAGTGGAGGCCGTCGATTGTGCGTCCGCATTTTCACCGCTGCCATTTGCCGCGGGACTTTGCGTATCGCAGGTGAACAGCGATTGCGTGGCGCAGAGGAGGAGCTGCTGCAATGGTATGCTGGCATACTACTATATTCCTGGACTGAACCAGACCTAATTCTACTACTTTCTTTTTTTTTCAATAAAATCGCGCTCCATCTTCATACCGTATTCTCCCTTTATTTATTTTTATGTCGATGAACCAGAATAGACTTTGATAGATCACATAGACATCAATCAATAAATAACTGATTTGAGATATATGTGTTTCTTAGGTTAACAATTGAAATATCTTTGATCGATGGAACACTCGAATCATCGTATGACTGTTAGTATTATAAAGCAATTGAAATCGGAGTAATCAACGCATAACTCTATGTATGTTAATCACATAAAACGCATGGATCGTCAGAAAAAAAACAATTGAATGAATTAAGAGATATGTGGATGAGAGAAGCGTTTTTGTTGCTTTTTTTTTTTACTTTTTTTTTTGTATAGGCCATGTGAGTCTACCTTACAGCTCGAAAGCATATTTCCTGCAAATGTACTATTTGTATGGTATTCATATTGTACCAATGATGGGTAGCAGCGCCCGCGAGGAAGCGATGCATGAGCAGAGCCACTTCTAGAATTTGTACGGCTTAGAGCAAATAAATGTAACCTGATCTTAACTTAATCTAGCCTAACTAAATCCGATAAACACGTCGAATGCCAGAGTGAATACCGACGTACGTGGACAGACATACTAGAATACAGATTATTGAGAATACCGGTAGCCAAGTTTTCTGTTGTACGCCCGTGCTCGTGAGTTCTTCGCCGGACACTTGATCTGCCCATCACTGTATTATATCATGTATCGAAAAAAGGAACAAAGTGGCACACAGCTTTCGAACTTTCTCGGTGATCGCATTCTACGACGGGACACATTCGAATCTGTAAGGAGCATCTATAGCTGTTTCTTATCTCCTTAAATAACCGTCTATGACCGAATTATAATCAAAGACTAATTCTTCTAAGCAGCATTCAAAAACAGAGTATATAATATAATATATTTGTAGATATATATATATATATATTATAATGAGCTATATCGAGCAAAAAAATGTACGGAAACAGAAAACAAAAAATCAATCTAGTAAAAAGATGTTTTTCTGTGTGTGGTTTCTTATGTACACCAACATACCATTCTGCAAGTGTGTGTGCCGCAGAACGTATTTTGACAAGACTATTCGAACAATGAATCGATAAATGCATTAATGAATACGAGACTAGAAGGATAGAAGAAAAAGAACGAAGAAATTTGTCGATTCTCTAAGCAAGATGGAACGAATTGTCGAAATATGTTCGGCTCACATGATCAGGGTATCAGGGTACGGGTGATCAGGGTATCATGTATAAATATCAAAGATACACAATAAAAATTAAACGAACTCAAAAAACACGACGATGTCTAAAAAAAATAAAACAAAGAAAATTGAATAAAACGCATGCGATGTAGAGTAGCCTAGGTATAGCACACGTAAAGCAGCAAATGAAAATGAAAATGTGAATGAATGTTAAAACTAAAATCTTTTCTTGTTAAAGAAACTTCGTCAAGTATTATTGTTTTGGTAAACGAACGACAGCTTGTACATCGTATTAATATTAGTTAGGTACCGTAAAAAGGAGAAACGATAAAACGAAAAAGAAAAGACGAACAGTTCACCGCTACATCGATATTAGATTATATTTTACGTATAATACTTGACTAAGCGTACCCAGTGTACCATTTCTCAAACGCGAAAGCAACAAATACACTTGTTTAAACATTACTTCTCTTATCTTGCTGCTGGTTCGATAATTTTGTTTCTTTAAAGCCAATAAGTAAGACATTCGTTACTAAAATCGATTAGCTGCAAAAATGGTACCAGGGTTCAGAGTGTTTGTTAAACAATAAGCAGGACTTACAACGCGCGCAGTACCCAGCGACACAAGTCTGGCGGCCTTTTTTACCTGTACGCCCAAACGGTGTTGCGTGTGACGACTTGTCTGCTTTACCAGTGCGCATATGAATTCAGATTGCAGTTCAGGTTGATCTAAGCATTGTTGTAACGCGTTTTGCGCTAATACCACGTGGTAGTCTATGCCTGCTTGCTCCACTGCCACCGACATGAACAATTGGCAAGCCTGTTCGTACAAAAATATTCCTTTCTCGATCATGTTCTTCTTAACAAGTTTCGTTAACGCGTTGACTGCTATTTACTATTCTTAACTAGCATATATTAACCTTGAAAAGCTTGATGGCCTCGGTTTGCAAGGCTTCGGATGTCAAGCTGGTCAGTGGACTAGTGATATTCTCTTTCGTATGGAGCAGCAACGGATGTCTCCAAAGAACACAGCTAGGATCTCCGTCAGTTTCCATCAGTCTCTGAACCAGTTGTTCGTACTGGGTTCCCGCGCTGGGTCCTCCACCGGACACGACCGTCAAGTGGTACAGCCAATTATCTTTCTCCTGTTTGTGGGGCATCAGCAAATACGTAGGACCTTGATGAGTGGGGAAGATGCCAATCGTCCTTTCGTGAGGACACTCGGCGTCTCTTTCCTCGCTGTCGCTGTCGGACACGTGCTCCACCTCTTCCACTCTGGCGTCCCTCATGTTTATTTGTCCAATAGGATTCTACAAAAAAGATATTTTGATAACTCTGCATCTGGTAGTTAACGCGGATCGTACTGGAAGCCTGAGGACTTACCGTATCGTTAGGGCACTTAAAGTAAAGGAACATTTTTCCGATGAGGACGCACCAGCACTTCTTGGCATGCCCGTTCTTCACCTTCGTTAACCAGCCTTGTATCGTTGGCTTGTTGTCCTCTTTGCTGAGCAAAAGTTTCGTCGCGTTCCGCCTTTGTACATTCTGCAGAACTCTTATCCAGTCTTCCATCGTCGCTATGCAGTCTGCCGTTAAATAATACGTCTTCTTGCCCGTTGCTATCTCGAACGTAGCTGCGCCTTCTGCCCTGTTTATCCTGATACAAAGATTCCGTTTAATATATAGATTCTTAAATAAAGTTTGCAGTAAAGCAGGTATATACCTGCACACTTCATCCAACACAATCTGCCCTTGCGGCTTTCGATTCACGTCGTTCTGACTCTTCCAATAGGTGAGTACTCCGTTCTTCAGTACGAACCACCTTTTCCGCCATGTTTTCAGTTTGCCACCGAGTTTCGCGAGATGGCCAGTCTTTTCCAGAGATTCTTGGCGTTTTGGACTCTCGCCAGAAACGCGCATCAGTAAGCTAGGCATACTAGATTCGAGGGAAGTCGAGCTGAGCGCGTCAGGAGGTATCGCGTAGTCTTCCGACAGGCCAGATTCCAACGAGGTATCTGCGACAACGAAATAATTCTCAAGTTGCGGAGTGTAGAATTTTCAAAGTCTAAAGACACGACGACGTTAGAGAAGCGTACCACGTTTCACGCTTTTGCTGGGAGAGCCGCTGGAGCTTCTCTTCGCAGGACTAAGGCTGCTTGTGGTTTTCACGCTCTTCGACGGACTGCTTCCGCTGCCCAGCGACGAATCCGTGTTATCGGACGAACTGTTGGTGATTCTGGTGTTCGTCTCCGTCTGATTGGGATGTTCCTCGCCATCTGAACTGTCGTCGGAACTGTCGCCGAATGGCATGGACCTGATTTGACTGGCTCGTCCTAAATCACCGAAAATTTATGAAAATCAAATCTACGAATGTTGCTTAAGTGCAAAGAGGTAAGACGCGAAAGCGATTCGAAGTACAAGTGCGTAGATAGTTGACAGAAAAAGACCTACCCTTGACCGTTGCGTAGACTGGAACCGAAATATCGCAGTAGCCTTGGGAATTGTGCGCAGTCAGGTTGTGTCCTGTTGCTTGGGAATGTTTCGATGAGCTTGTCGTGTTGGTCATCGTGGAAGGCGCGGATTCCTCGTTCGTCGGTGGACCGATGCCAAGCCCACCGTCTGCTACCTACAATATCACAGAATGTCGCGTTTATTTGATTACAAATTGCAACAACTTCGGGAACGTGTCTTCGCGCGCGTTTCGCTTCAGATCTCGTTTATCAGCAAGCACTTGCGGTTTCAAAGCAAACCTAACTCGATTAACTTGTACGGGTCACCAACGGTGTTTTCAATGTACATTGGTCAAATACCTGATAAATCTTAGCCTCCCAACTGGGAAATCGGTGCAGGGGTGGAGTGGGCGGTCGAGGACCCTGTGCATTCTGAGCCCAATTCATCCCTTCTCTACTAGGCGTGTAAATCTCCGCATAATCGTGGACAGCTTCCGAGCTTCCGCTGTCTCTGCTCGTTTCCGAAATACCCGGTATATTTGGTAGCATCACCAGATTCTCGACGGCCGCCGCCAGCTCTTCGGACAGTAGGCTAGAGCAGAAAAAGAATGGCAAGCATAAAACAGGGAACTAATTAACCCTTTCGCTACGGTGGAGTCGATTAACAAGCATCAATGTTATACGCTATATGCTCGTATGTAGATAGGTGGTGTGGTCATGTGCAGTTTAGGCTTCCATTGGATAAGAGGAAGTGTAGGGGAAGGAATATTTGACCGCTTACGTTTGTCTATATTCTCCATCGACATAGATTAGGCTATCGTTCTAAGTTCGAAAGCAAGCGGTGAAATCCTAGTTACGCTACAGTTATTCTTAATTAAGTTTAGGTGCCCTCTTAGAGAAGGTCTAAGGAGCTCGGAAGGAACGAACTTAGGAAAGTCCTAAAGTTTGCGAAAGTTTCTAAGCAGAACTCGAATTTGTCTACGTGAATTGTCCAAGGAGTGTACGAAACGAGCCTGACCCAGATAATCGTTATCCTACATAGCCTCTTGGTACAAAGGAAGCCTACGGAGTGTACGTTCGAATCGATAAGAGTACGAAGAATTCGAAGAAAAAAGAAAAGAGATCATCTATCGTGCTGAAAATTTAGAGGTAACAGAGTATACGGGTTGAGAGATCCCCGCAGGAAGTCCCAGGACGTTACAGGGTACCACATTTTCGAGAGTCGGGCGCCGCTATCACGTCGTGAGACCTCCCAAGGAGAATCGAAACACGTTTACAACGACGTTTATTACGATACAGGTTGACGGACGACGCTAGGTAGAGCTAGTAGAGAAGCGGAAGGAAGCGAATATTACGAGAGGCGAGAAGAAAACGCATTCGAAACCGTGGTAGAAAGTACGTGTATTCCACCTCGAATCCATGTTGGTGGCGGTGATTCCTCGCTGTATCGTTCCACAAGCGGACAGGTGTCTTCGATGCTTGGTGCCTGTCTGAGGTTCCGCCACGGCACTCTGCACGCTTTCCGGAACCGCCTGCGGTGTTCCTTCGAGGCTCTCCGATCGCCTTCGTAACGTCGAATCCACTTCCAGGGACAGGGATGCTCTTGTGGGTGCCTGCAACAAAATTAACCCTTCAATTTCGTTTCTGGCGAAAAGCAAATTTTTAATTACAGTGTTACCGTTATCTATATAAATAACAACTACGAAAAATACACTAGAAAGTTACTCTATCTATTACTTCCTATCAATTACTTGTACTTTCGATAAATATAATTACGTTACGTTATATAATTTTGTAAACACGATTATCTCGGTAATCTTGATACGAACAAGTGGTTTTCTCAAATTCGCGGGTGTTAAAGTATTAAAAACAGTTTAAACCGTATGCGTCATCGAGCGGAAGCGACTCACAGGTGGTTTCAGGCCGATATTCGTAATGTGATTTCTCAGCAGCTCCAATTGCTGGTTGCACTTGTTGTTCTGTTCCCTTAAATGTTGATTCTGTTGCTCCAATTCCCTCAATTTATTGGTGACCCATTCCTTTATCCTCGCGGCCTTCGCCTCTACCTGCCTCGCGTCTTGAAGCCGCAACTGTCTCTGCAAGCAATGTGCAATTGTATTTCTGAATTGTTGCTTTATCTCGATACGATAAATCGTCTTATCAAAGCATTTTGCAGTGATCCGATGCGTCATAGATACGGGAATGTTTACGTGTTCAAAAATACTTGGAAGTTCGGATGTCGCTTACTAACTACCGTGTTAGATTTATAGAAGATTCGAGCTTTGTCGAGTAAATAAATTAATGTTGTTACCTGTTCCTCGACCTGTGTTTCTAGCTTCGAGATGCAAGCACAGTGAACGTCCTCGATCTTGTCATTCTGCGTACCGGAAGTTGACGGCAGCGAATGCGGTGGAGAGCCAACGCCGGATGTGCTCAAGCAGTATTCACCCTTCACTAGCCGCTCCTCCATCATCCGTACCTGCAACGATATCGAATGTATCTTTATCATTCTTGCAACAGTTGCTTTCAACCCCTTGTACTTTTTAATTACTTTCAGTACATATTTTGGAGGTTTAAAAGTGAGTTTAATTTATAGGAACGAGACATATTAGCTGTAATTGGACATAGGGTTGTACAGGGTTCAAACGCGATTTCGTATAGTATAAAATACCTTACATCAGTAATAATATTTCAAAATTTCCAAAATCTCAAAAGCAACATGCTTGCTCCGGAGTTTCATCCCCAATAAAAAACCTAGCTATATCAAAGCATATGAATCTCTCGAGGTTAAATAAAATTGCTTTCCATTTTTCGTACGAAATTGCAGCGAAAATCAGCATTACCTTTCACCCGGGCAGCGATTACAATTTGCAGCCAACGAGCAACGCGTTCGTCCCGCATGAAGCAACTCGGTATAACGAAATTAGTGGAAATTGAAATTGAACAGCGATGATATCATTGAAATTTGTCGGGTAGAATGCCGTTGTCCAGGGTGGAAGAAGCATGGCAGTTGCGGGACGCGTGGGATCGTCGAGTAAACAGCGTAACAGGGTGGGAAAGAGAGAAAGAGGGTGATTTGCGTGTAGACCTGGTGCACCCCTTTTTCTGACACGCTGCTGGCGAGCTACGTTTCACAGCAGCTGTCAAAAATCGATAATCGCGTTCACGCGGAGCACGGACATGTACGTAAGCGTACCGAACGTTCACCAAGGCACAAGGGGAGAGTGGTGTATCAAGAAAATCAATACACCAGGGGGGGAAAATCCTCTGTGTTGTCTGATAAATGTGTTTTCCATCGTTCGTGTACGTACATGTTGCTTTCCTAGTATTCTTATCGATCACTCGCTACGTTTTCACGTTCATTGTCGTCGTTTATCAACAGTCGAAGACCGCGTGGTTTCTTTTCGCACTTTTTTCCGACGACGAATCATTGGAAATTTTATTAAGAACAATACAAGGAAATTTCATGTAATTTAATAAAATACGAAGCATCATGAAAATACATTTCTATGAACTTTGAGGATTACGTTTAATTTTGTATCGAATCAAATGTTCATTGCTATTTGTCACTGTTAACGTCACTGAATTATTCGTTTGATTGTTAGTAGTAGAACGATCAAGTTTTAGAACGCATTTTCCACGTACACCATGTTTCACCATGAAATCACCGCAGATCACGAAATGCCACGTGCAGCAACCCTTAAGATCCACTTTACGAAACGCATCTATATTCTTAAATTCTAACCACTCACTAGATAAATTGAAAAACTCGAAACAAGAATTAATACTTTCTACTCTGCTCGACAATTAATTTTTTTATCAAATCTTTTATCATATAGTATGTATGTATAACAATCTAAAAGGTGATAAATTTAGTTTGCAATCGAATACACAATGGAAGGTTGCAATTTTTATAACAATTTTAACTGAGTATTCACTAATTCTCTTTGCACGAGCAATGTGACCATAAGGGATGAAATAATTAGGAAATTGTACGAATCTGTAGGAAAATAAAGAAGCGCAATGGAGATTCTTACCAAGATTTCGAGTGGCCATGATAGCCGATCCGCAGTTAATCAGAATCATCCGAGGACCTCTTTAAACTCTTCCCTTTGTTCCCGTGGAGGGTTCCTCGACTCTCGAGGACACTCCCAAAGCAGAAAGCACGATTTCTCTCGGTCTATATAATCGAAACGTTTTAGCGTCCCTCCCGTGGGATAACGAGAGACTGGAAAAGAAGAGGGTTGCGGTAACGCACGATGCCGTTGATCGAACGGAACTGAACTGAACGGAACGGAACCTATCCAGCTAAAACACTCTTCCTACGGGCTTTCCAACAGCCGATGAGTCACGTTTGGCTGTTGGCCAATGGCAGAATTCGTAGAGGTCCTCCTCGTGTCCACGCACGCCACCCTGAACCGAACACGCTGCCACTATGACAACCACGAGACGTCTTCGTCAACTTTATTAACCTTTATGGGATCACCGATCGTTCGCACGGTTCAACGAGCTGCGGGGCGAATATTGATAGAAAACACGAAGATGACAATGGTAGGGAGAACAGTTTGGTTGGAGGACCACGTCTCTTCTTGAGATTTATCGATCTGTTTCACCGCTTGTATCTCGTAAGCCTGCGCTCGTCGTCGCCACGCGGAACTTTACACAGCGAGAGGAAGAATCGGTAGATGTCCTCGGATAACGATTTCGATCGAGCACGTTCATTAAAATGTGCAAAGAAAGTTGTATTTCGTTAGGGATTCTCAGACCGCGGCTCCGATTCTTCAGGTGATAATGTAAAGATTTCAAAACCTTAGCCTGAAATTTTTCAGAACCTTGACATTTTGGGACTCTGAGATTTTTAAACTGTAGCATTTGGGAAGCTTGGAATTCGAGAACCTTGGAGACCTTGAAATCTCGAAACTCGAAGAAAAGAAAGGGTTCCGGATATATTGGAAAAAGTTGGCAGACGTTCTCGGTTCGAACGAAAGACAACGACCCCACCGACGAGTTCATCATTCGATCGAACGTCCGACGACTTTCGCAGACGTTCGAATCCTGTCTAAAGATTTATCGACTCGTCTCGTGTCTCTCGGAAGCGCAGGCTCGAAAGCAAAATACCGAGAAACCAGAAATAGCGTCGTGAAAGAATAATTTCAATCCTGCTTCATTGATCTACGATGCAACGTTGCACGAATCGTTATGTCTGGAACATTCTTCGCAAACCCATGAATCTTTGCGAAAGATTGATCTACGGACACGCAAATGAGATCATAATCTCGTACAGTCTACAAACAATTAAATAGAATTATCGAACGCTGAACATTTTTCGCTGACTAAAAACATTTCGTTGAACAGAAAAGAAACAGGACGTATTCGGAAAGAATCGAAGACAAACGAAACTGGTTTCTTTTCATCCTTTTAGGATGACCCACGTGCGCGTGTACGAGAGTGTCACCTCGACGTCGAATCGCGTTGGCTTCCCGCCAAAACTAGCCTGCTAATGTGCATGCAGAAATCTTCATTCAGTTATGACCGGAGAACGATAGTGTTAGATAGTGTTATGAAACGAACTACTAATTGGGTCGACAACTTATCAACGCGTGAAAGAAATGGAAGAAACAAAACTGCTAGTAGAAATTGTAGATCTGCTGTGTCTGGGTTTTTAGTCGAATTATCAACGCTATCGATAACTAGTAATATTCATAGTTAACGCGTTGATCAGTAAACGTTACTCATAGTCTGTTACACATAGAACGAGTCATAATAGTCATCGTTACTCGGAATCACGGTTAATAGAGAACGTTATCCACAATGTGATCCACATTTGATACTTATAGTCGACTGTCTGCCAACGCTACATACGCTATTTCCACAATATGTTCCGTGATATAATCGGTCGGAAGAGAATGATTTATAGACGAAATCTTTCAACTTCTTAACCCCTTGCACTATGACTTATTTGTCAGGTGCGTCTGTCAGAACTGCCCAATTAAGCTATAATATTAAAATAGACAAAAATATTGAAATGTTATTTCAATATGTTATTATTCAATTGTTGACTATGCAAATTATAATTGGACTTGAACTACAAATTGAAGCGTATTAAAAATTTGAGTAAAATTGATCACGACCGAGGTACAAGTGCGTCACGAGTCAGACTCGTCAAAATAGTGCAAGGGGTTAATCAAGTTTTTCTCGTGTTTCAATTTTTGTCAATTTCTTAAAAATCACGAAGAAAGAATAAAAAGGGGTCATTAAAGCGATGTACCAAAGTGAAACGACAGTAAGCTAAAACATTTTGCGGGAAAGCGTTTGGTATAAAAGAAATTGTCCAAAGAGTATCCGCGGGGTCAGCTTAAAGAAGTGGCTCCCGCAAAGAGGATTTGTCGGAGCGACGAAAAGCGAATCCGGCGCCACGGATGCTTTGAAATATTTAAAGGAACTTGAGGGAGTCGCGAAAAAGGAACGTCTGCGTTCACCTTTATTTCGTTTGGTGCGGGGATGCTCACGGGAAACGAGGATTACTCATGAATTGGCCGTACGCCAATTCTATACGCGACACGTCTCGTGAAAGCGAGTCGTTAAACCGAGTCGCGTCGCTAAATCGTCCTCCGCGATCTTGCTTATTCCCACCATACGATCTTTTTCGATCTCTCCTTCGATCGCCGACAGATATAGCGCGAAGTAAATTCAATTACGAAACGTTCTTTCATCCCGAAGATCAATGACGTCTATGCCCTCCTATAGTACGAACGCCTTACCCCTTGATACTTATGACTACTCATTAATGACATTGCGATCACTTTCATATTTGTGTCACTGTACTCAGGGAAATTTTTGCTCGTTTCTGTGCAGTTCTTGTTTGGCACTGTCTAAATTGTTCATTGATTTCGAGAGAATATTCTTAGATTTGTAGAACGTTCCATTGGTTTTACAATTAAACTTTCATGGAAAATCTAGCGGATCAGTTCATTTGCAAAGCAAAAAGTGTACTATGCTTCCCTAACCTTCGCAGCCATCGAGGATTTAATATTTAAAATTTTTGTATCGAAACCGAAGCTTGCAAGGAACACATTCGCGACACTCTGCAAGACGTGCAAAAATGATCAAAGAGAATACGGAAACGGGTGCACGATACGCGAAGGTTAAAATCGGGACGACACAAGACTTCGATCGCGCAAAACATTTGCGAGGACTAGGAATAAAACGACTAGAGAAGGAAACGATGAGCAAACGACGAGGAAGAGAATAAACTGATACGGAGTTTACCTTTCATCGGTGTCACCTGGTGAGCTCCATAGTTCTCGAGACGCGTTGGTTTAGCCCTCGGTGTCGACCGAACGAGTGTCCAAAATTGGCGAGAGAAAAACCGCGACGTCGAGTGCACGAGAATCGAGCGAAAGGATCGCGAAAGGCGAGTAACCGGTAACGGAAGTGCACGTGGTTCACGAACGCTCGACTTCTCGCTCGAATTTCGAGGTCATAACAAAAACGATGGTCTTGCCGGCCGGTTGCACGGCCATATTGTCACCTCCTCTCTTTCTCTCCTCCCGCTCTCTGATGCTCTCTTCGTTGGTCTATCAGGATTTTCAGCTGGTCGTCTTTCTCCTATCCTCGTGGCTCGTCTTTCTCGCGAGGCCGAACGCAAAAATCAATGCGACGTAACATGCGCCCTGACACTCGGCCATCGTGCACCACCGACCGAACTTTCCCTCGCGGAACTTCCTTGTTCCACCGCTTAAACCTTTCGCTCCCGGACCTATATATACGCTCCGATATCCCAGCCGATCAACATTCTTTAGAGGTTTATAGCCGCTTTTACGCGTTTACCGCCGATCACGCGATATCGAGTGCTAGGTGTCGATCACGCGACACGCCGTGAACGCTACCAACAGATAATGCTACTCGTGTGCAATATTATCCGTAGTCGATGCTATACCTGGTCAATATTGTCTACGATATTCATAGCCAATATTGTTCGACGATGGATAATACTACCAACAGTCGACTTTACCTATAATAAACGCCGTCTATAGCTGACAGCATTGATACCCACAGTTAATACAGCGCTAACGCCTATAATACGAGTTAGGTACATAGTTTGTAAAATTGGAGAAATTTTCTGGTAAGTATAGAATGTCATACGATGTAGAACGCGAAGAATCTCTACTGCATAAAATTATAAAAGTAGCAGATACTCGTAAACGTAAGTGTCGGTTCTTTCTTTTGATCGACACAGTACAAGGCAGACAATCTATTTAACAAGTGCTTTGGTTTGCAAGCTAGGTGTATATGAAAGGTGTGTTTGCAATGCAAATATGCCCAGGTGGGTGTGAATCGATGTAATCGGAAATGAATTGGTCGCGTTTGGTTGTAGCTAAGTCCCCTCAAAGGATTAATGCTCGTGTGTAGGATTAGGAGAACAATCTGATAATTAGGGAATTATTATTATATTATGACAAAGGGCTTTGAACAGTGTGCGAGAGGATATCCTTTGTCTTTAGATTGCCATCGACAGGTTCATTCGGCGTATAATGGAAATCGCGGATCAATATCGTGCTTCGCTGGTACACGAAAGGGTATTGTCCGAAGGAAGCTTCTGATTGCCTGCAGGTGGTATGCCACGGAAAAGTGGAGTAGCAGTCGGTAAAGGTCAGAGAAAATGAAACGGCAAGCCGGGGGTAGAAAATCGATGAGGAACTCGGTGGAGAGTAAAGGCTGTTCGCTAGCAGCTGTGTGGACGGTGATTCCCTCTGGTCGGTAACGCAGTATCGATTTTGACGCGCGACTTTAACGTTCATTTTCGCTCGGGATGGGTCAATATAGACCCCTATTTTTCTCTTTTCACCCTTTGAGTAGGCACCAGAAAAAATATACTTCGTTCGTAAAAAGGAATTTTTTACCATTCTCTGCTCGCAAGAAAGTATTGGGTTGTCCGGTAAGTTCGTGCCGATTTTGAGACACAATTGAAACGCAGCTCGTTTAAATTTGGTATACATTTATTAAATTATATAGGTGCCATTCTGTTCTATAACCTTTCTCCATCTTTCATGCAACTTGAGAATTCTTTCCAGAACGTCTCAGGTTCTTCGGTGAAAAATTTGTCTAAATAAATTTTCATGCCATCACCGAAAATCAGCACGAACTTCCCGGACAACCCAATAGTTCATGCTAAGACCTGTTCGATGACATACTTTGTAAAGGAGTTTATTTTTACGAACGATGGAAGATACTGTTCAGTTTCCGATTTACTCAGTATGGTAATCCGGAGTGATTAAAGAGGTCTAAGAGCATCGTTGCTATTTGCTAAATGAATTATTTACCCTGGAGGTCTCCGGGTCAGTTTGTCGAGCATTAACGACACGGGCATCCGGCGATCATTTACATCGAATCATGCAACGTTTTAATCACGGTTCGATTAACTCTAGACGCTTTGACCACTCCCTGATTACTGGCCGAGAAATGCGAGGAAAGAAGGGGAATTCTATTACAAAAGGAGTGATAGTAATTTATTCTCACCTTGTCCTCCGCCTCGTCAGCTCGGCCCTCGGCTTCCAAGACCCGCTGCTCGAGCTCCGAGAGCTGTAAACATAAAATAACATGATTTACTAAGTGTTTCCGAATAAAAACGATTCACAGCTTTTCGATCTCTGCTGTGGTCGATTATTAATCAATCTAGGTTGAGGGAAATATAAATCTGATAAAATATCGAAGTGTAACAGCTGCGAATTATAAGAATGCCGAAACTTAACAACTAAATTCGTTGTTCATACATTCGATGCGTATATGCATACATGACAGAAGTAAAAATCGTATAGTTCTTGTACACGATTCGAAGATTCATCCAATAGAGGTCCCTTAATCCGAATTCTTGCATTGGCCCGAAAATCAAGACCCATTGAGGCGTTATCTCGACAGCCAAACATCGCGGGATCGATCATTCGTGAACACTCATTGTCCAGAGACAATGAGCGACCAACGTCCATCGGAATGGAAGCCACGCTGCGTGGGAAGATACACGGCAGCCAGAGGATGTTTCGTAAAAATATGAAATATTCATAATCTGGCGTCAGCAGGCGCCGAAACGAGAAGCAGAGAATTCGCAAGTTAGAGGGGCTGCCTCTCTGTTCTTCTCCCGCGTCATCTAATTTTCTTTCGAAAGAGGAAAAGTTCCATCAAACTTGCTTAAGTCCACGGGCAACACGTAGATGCACGACCGACGAGAGTTTAATGGATACCACAGACTTAAGCGGCTCCTCAAAGTCCGCTTGATCCTTCAAAGATTGATACGCGCGAGTCACGGACTGACACGCTCGTATTTTCTCCAGTCATCCCGTGGGAGACACGAAAATGCCTGCTTCCGGGGAATTGATTTCTGCATGGCGAGCCCGCGGCAGCCAACTTTCTAAACTTTATGATTTCGTCTATAATTGATCGGCAAGTTTCGTGCATAGGTCATACGTCGTTAGTCGAATTTTCATCACGGGAAACTATCACAGAATGCATCGAATTTAAAGATTCATGAAAATTACTGCGTACGGGTTTCATCGATAACGTTGATAAAAACTGACCGGAGTTACAATAACGATCGATTACGAAAAATATAAAGTTTGAAGTTGATCGACGACGCAGGAGGTGACGCTTGAGCTTAAAGTTTAATGTAAACGATATAAACGTTCCATGAATGTTTTCGAAAAGATCGATCATACGTCGAAAGACGAAGTTAAGAAATGATCGACCATTTGTTCTGATAAGAGTCATTTTGTAGCAGCAACAGCGACAAAACGTTTAAGCAGCGTAATTTGTTAAGCTTTAAGCACAGGCTTTAGTATTTTGCTTCAGTTTTTTGTTCGAAGGAACGACTCCGTTGTTCTCGGAAGATCCCAAAAGAGTCATCATCCGGAAAAAGCTGGTTCTCGCGTATTCGCAAAAATAATGGATAATTCATTGCGAAAGTCCGATACGCGGTACAGCGAGGTCCGTGATTTAAGTGTTCGCGGAATTAGCAAGGTAGCCCCATTAAGCTGGCCAGAATCAGGCGGGCTCGTTGACTTTTTCCAGTAGAGAACCGGCTTAAAAGTATTCCGTGGTTGACCCGAGGGACAATATGAATTGCTCTTAAAGTCGAGCCTCGACCCGTATATTAACCTCCGTTTTAATTAATCACCGAGCTCGCGGGACGACACGCCTCTATTTCGCCGTCGTTTTTTCACCTAACCCTACGAAACTTGCAAAATTCGCGTGTTATTGGCCGGCTCCCCTTAAAATTCCGTTGTTCGCCGCACCCTCATCATCGCGTACATGATATTACATACCTTCTCGAGTCACTCTCGACTATTATTCAAAAATTCTAATTCTACTTTAAAATTCACTTTCGGACTTTATTAACTCGTTGAACGTCGCGAGCCGAGGCGTGAGCTCGAAAATGTTATTTTCATCGGGTACACAAATTTACGTATAGCTGGAATTTCGAGTCGTGCGTTTGTTTCTGGAAGGAACACTTCGATAGACGACCAAATATCGGCGATTCCCACGGGGGTAGTTTTCGCTCTTCAAATATGAATCTAGACTGCTGCAAAAAACATACGTGAAATATTTCTTCAGCTTGGATGTTATATCAAAGTTTCAATAAAATCGCTCGGTTTAATCCCTGGTTGGTACTTTAATATAATTTATATTAACGCAAGTCGAAGTTTATCGTTGTACATCGACAACCGAGAACAATTGGTCGAATATTTTAGGTAGCGAATAGCCGGCAAATCCTCGCCACGAGTTCCGGCGAGTTTAAGGGGGATGCTGCTTTAGGAGCCCTAAAAAGAGCGTTTTTTAGGGAATTTTTTTAGGACAGAAAAAAAGGTGACCCTAGTGAACTTTTCAGATTATTTGACTACATGTTTGAAGAAGAAAAAAAGAATTTTTGTAGAGAAAAATATTGAAACGCAGCCGATTTTTATGCACATCTGTGCAACGCCTTTCAATTGCAGTCTCCAATCGGCGGGAAAGATGCAGTTCGTAATTTTCGTCTGAAATTAAAAAACCAAAGAGAATTCTAATTTTCATAGCCTTTCCTTCTATTTGAACTAAAAAAATTCACGAAAAATATGTTTAAACAACTTTTTTAGCAAGTTGAAACAATTTTTTTTTTCAAAATATGAAAATTTTCTTCAAACCTGAGAAAATTTTAGAATTTCACAATTTTTTTGGTTTTTCTTAGTTCAAATAGAAGGAAAGACTGTGAAAATTAGAATTCTCTTTGGTTTCTTAATTTCAGACAAAAATTACGAACTGCATCTTTCCCGCCGATTGGAGACTGCAATTGAAAGGCGTTGCACAGATGTGCATAAAAATCGGCTGCGTTTCAATATTTTTCTCTACAAAAATTCTTTTTTTCTTCTTCAAACATGTAGTAAAATAATCTAAAAAGTTCACTAGGGTCACCTTTTTTTTCTGTCCTAAAAAAATTCCCTAAAAGACGCTCTTTTTAGGGCTCCTAAAGCAGGATCCCCCTTAATTATCCTAAAAAGCGAACGCGAAACGACACGAAAGAGAAATAAGCACGAGTAGGCGAGGAAAGTAGGCGCAGAAGTCTAAGGAAAACGTTCGATCGTCCGTATCTCGAAGAGGGTTGGTCGCGCGAGAATTTCATCCCTTTGCTCGATGAAGATGGCTGAGCGGAAAGAAACGAGAGTCCAGGGTGAAAGAGAAGCTGAACAGACAGCGCGGAGAGAAGGATCTCATCAGGAGGGTGCAGTTAGCAGCATCTGGCGTTGAGAGGGAGCGAAAAAAAGGGAGGAACGTATGAAAAGGAAGAAGGAAAAAAGGAGGAGAAGAAAGGGAGAGCGGTATAGGCGTGGATTTTCCGTGACGTTGAAGTCGCGGTTCGCGAAGAAAGAACTGGAAAGTCTGGAGGCTCGAAGAAGGGGTACATTAGCCGCAAACGGGATACCAGAAGGATCTCTCAAACTGTCGTCGGTGCTTAAGCTCCTCTTCTTCCTCTGTTCCTTTCTGCCGCGATTCGGTAACGATGACAGCAGCCGGGCAATAAGGGCTTATGAAAATCGTGCATCTCCCCCCACGACCACCACCACCATCGCGTCCCTTTTACTCGCTCGAACACACCCTTCCAGTGAATATATCTCGACACCATGAATAACCTAACCGGCGGACCAAGAGTTTCTCCTGAATCTTTCAACGAACGACAAGCTCGTTTCGCGAAAGATCAAACGACTAGTTAGCTCGGCTCCAAGCACCGCTTTAAATGTTTCCTGCCAATTGATGCATGCTTCCAGAAAATGGACCACTTTGATGGTTGACGCTACCGTTTTTAGGGGACGAATATTTCGGATATTCGGGAATGTCGAAAGTTGAAAATTCGCGTCTCGTAAATTCAGCGCGAACGATCCGTGTCTCGCGTGCGGAAAAACGATCCGGCTTGTGCGAGACGATAATGCATGTGTATGAGAACGCGGGGGTTGTTTGCGATGCAAAAGTTGATCGTTATCGGGTCGTTTTATGCGGCTACGAGGGAACGCGTTAGTTAGAGGCCCTGCAACATCCACCTGCGGTCTTCGATGAAAATGAACAGGTAGCGCGGACAAAGGGGTAGAAAGAAAGCGAGACAATTAACATAAATGCGCGTGTACCGGACAGACCCGCGAGACGATTCCTCGGGAACAAAGTCGTACGAATAAATTTTATTCCGCGTTTTGATGTTTCTCGTGCACGAGAAGCCCGCGTCTTGCTCCGTAACGCCGGTCATAAATTTCGCCTGCTACGCCGACAAATGTGACACGCGAGAATTTCGGAACACCGCGTATAAGGCGATAACTTTAATCTGTGGCATTCGAGAAAGGGTGGAAAACTGTCGGAGAGATGGGGTGGGCAGGGATTGGTTCGTTAATGTTATCGGTGGGTCGCGTGACGCGAAACATAAAGCATCGTGCCTTCTTGAGTTTCGTTTCTCTTTGTGCCGGTGAATTTATGGCAGCTCGATCCTGTCGCGTGAGCGAAAAAGAAAGCGCGATACACGCCTGTCCGTGTCCAGTTAATTCGTTCCCTTCGGGAAAATCGTCACGCGAACTATCCTTGCCGTGTTCTTTCCCGGCAAAGATATCCGCGATCCGAGAGTAGCGTTTCAGGAAGGTGTCATTACAGAAAGTAATGTTTCTCTTGGAAGATAAGTATTGTGGGATTTGGGAGCTTCGGACTCGATAAAAGGAAACGTGGGGAAGCAGGATAGTCGGGGAAGGCCAGAATTCAATTTCCGGTACTGGCACTCTCTATTTTTACGACACTGTATCGGCTTAAGTTCGTTTAGAAGCGGTAATATACGGAGAGCCTCTTGTGTTATAGAGATATCGAAGAGATACAAATTTTCGAGGCAGTAATTTATTGTACACGATCTCGTATCATGGCAGATAAATTCTTGAGACTTCGCTCTTGCACCACCGATGCACTTTCAAGGACATCCAACGCCGTAATTATTAAATCGAATAAAATTTGTGCGAGCATTAACGTAATCCTTAAGTTCGTTTAGAAGCGGTAATATACGGAGAGCCTCTAATGTTATAGAGATATCGAAG